TTCAGTTCCGCGTTTCGGAAAGTGTGCCCGAGTGTGCGAGGCGCACCCCACGACCTCTTTGCAGCCTGGACCCCAGCCGGTTAGTTGGCGGCTCGGTCTTTTCTGTCCTCGCCCCCCCAGGCCCTGGGCGAGAAACCCTTGGAAACCGGGAGGAGCTGCGCGCACGGGCTCGGAGCCGGGCGCGCCCTTCCCCCCGCGGGGAGGACCAGGGCGAGGAGTCCCGGGGGAGCTGGAAGGCGCCGCCGCGGCCTGGGGCGCACGGGAAAGACCGGGCTAAAAACCCCGTGGAGCGAGCCCCGCGCTGGCTCCGTTGGTTGGAGAAAGGCCCCTTTCATGCGCCCAGCCGCCTGGACGCGAGCCTGGGTAATGCCGCGTTCCTCCCCCCTCCCCGCCCAGGGATGGATCCCTTTTAAAAGCTGCTGAAAGGGGCTGGCGGGGGGAGCGACGCCCGCTGGGCTGGGGCAGCGGAGGGCGGCCAGCATTTCGCTCCCACGGCCCATGGCAACCCCGGCGGCCCCGCAGCTCCTGGGAGGGATTCGCAGCCCCCAGGATTTTGCAGCGAGCGGCTCAGCCGCGGGTGAGGAGGCCCGGCTTCCTCCTGCTGCCGGGCGGAGAATCGTCGGGAGGGTGACCCTTGGCTGACCTTTACTCAAAGCTCGGGGCTGCCGGGACCCACGGGCGCGCACAGAGCAGGGGAGGGCGCTGCAGTGGAAAAGCACGACGCTGGAACCAAGCAAATCCACCTGGGGGTCCATCCCCTCGACTCACGTTTTAAGTCAAAAAAATGCTATTTCCTAATTCAACATCGCCCTGGTTTGCTAGCTCCAAGGTCAAAGCGGTGGTGGCAACCCCTGAAATCCATTCAAAGAAACTTAAACGTTTCTTTCAAACACAAAGCTAGGCCACACATTCTCTTCCTACCACCTGCCTGCTATGCCCGTCCTGATCTTCGATTCCCTAAATCAGGGGTGGGGAACGTCCGGCCCGCAGGCCTTATAGGGCCCTGAAAAATCATTTGCTCTGGCTCTGCCAAGGCCTAACCAAAGAGAAGCAGTTCCAGCCATCACATTAGGGGTGAGTTAAATGTTTGACCAAATATAGCAGATTGATTTTTAAGTTGATAATTTTGTATGGTCCTCAAATGATATATCCAATTGGCCTTTGGCAGAAAAAAGGTTCCCCACCCCTGCTCTAAATCATGAACTGCTAATACGGTTGAAACCCGTATTAGCTTTCAACTACCTAATATAGCAGGGCGTCAATATTCTTCCATATATTCCCATATGAAAACTTTAAACTGGACCAATACAACAAACAATTGTAGTTGGTTTAGGCCAGGCATGGAAGGTGTGTGGTAGGATCAGAAGGAAATGTGTTTGAAGCCCATGAGAAATTTGCCCTGGGTCTAATCCCACAACCTGCCCTAATCCAGTTTCGTGTGTCACTCCTCGCTTATGACTAATGCAGCTAGCCTCCACAGCTGAAAACATTTGAGAATTCACTCTGGTATGAGGTCACTCCTACGGAGAAGCAATCTCGGCTATCTAGAACCATAGAAAGCTGAGTCGGGGGCTACCACTTGTATTTTCAGTGAGTCCTTGTATTACAAAAATTCTTAATGTCACATTGTTGATAGTTAATTTTGTTTAGAAAATGCACTTATGATATCTAGAATTTGTGATGTTAAAATTTCCCATTACCATAGATACAATAAAAAGATTAGGATCGTAACTTTTTTTTTGGCATCATCTGTTCCTTCTTTTGCTTAGGTTATAAAATATTTTTGCCTTTTCTGCCTCAGTCATTCTTTCTAGACTTTTTCATTATTCCATATATAAGGAAAAAAATCTTTATTCAGAAAGAAAGCCTAAAATATAGTGATAGGTTGAAGCATAGTGAACTGAATTTGGACAGTAATTAGTAAAATCATCTACATGAAAATAAACTTAGTTGTAAGTGGATAGTCTTATTAATTACATCATTTAAATCCTGGAGAGGAAGTAATTTTTCAATACCAATTTCAGTCAATAACCACATTATTGGATATCAGATGGTGAATTTGCAAAATAAAAATTTTGCAAAATAAACCACGCGGAAATTGCCAATTCATAAAGGATTCAAAGATTTGACTCGTAACAATAGGACACCTGTGTACTGCAAAAGGTATCATAAACAAGTGAAAATAAACATGACAAATAAAAAACATAATTTTACAGTGTACTTAACAAAAGATATATATTTTTAATAAAGAGTTCCTATATATCAAGTAAACCCATAGAATGAACAAAGCATAAAAAGACAAGTCACCGAAGAAATAAAAATTGCCAATACAATGATCCTCAACCTGAAAATCTGGGAATGCATTGGTACACATGCATATGTGTATAGCTACACATATTTCCACAAATATGCAAAGGTTTACCTTTTAAAATGTTCACTGCAGCACTTAACAAAAAATTGTAAACAATATTGAATAAACTATTGATGCTACTATGCAGCCATTAAGAATAATACATTATATATACTGACAAGGAAAGTGTAGCATAATCTCATTTTTGTTAAAACACATACTTGTAAGACTTATAGATACAAAATACTAAAAATAAAAATAAAAAATTTCTTAGTATTTGCACAGGAAGTTATACCAAACTATGAACAATGAACAATGAGAACTGAAACTTGTAACTTGTGATTATATATATCTATATATATATATGAAGGACTTTTACTTTATATTACTTTGCATTTATAAAACAAGTATGTATTACATTTATAATCAGCAACAAAATCAAGAATTTCCATTTTGGGAAAGAAAAAAACATTCTGTGTTTCGAAAAAGGCCTGGTGAGAAAACAAATTTCGACATGAAGGATAATGGCCTGGGCGTCCTATCTATGGGTTATGGCTTTGTTACTCCTGCTTACAATTTAAAAAGTAAGCGTTTTAAACAAAGAAAAATAAAGCATCTTAATTTACTCTTTAAATGGTTATAAAAGGGTATATAATTTAACTGCAAATGAGAATGCAATGGAAGTGAAACCTAATGCTTGGACACTGACCACCAGCCGCTCACAGGCTATGGGATGGGAATTTTACAGAAAGGCTGTTTTCTAAATTATAAAACCCACAGATTCAAAACCCAAGTGTGAATCGTGAGACCATGCTCTACAACACTATAAGGAAGGAGCTCTTTCACTTTAATCTCTTACCACCTCATTCCTCCCCCGTCTCCATGCAGGTATTTCTTTTGGAGATTTAAAAAAAAAAAATTCTGTTTTATTGGATAGCTGCCACTTTCGATATTCCAATATTCTAGCTAGATTACTGTTGGCTTACAAAACATGCTTGTTCAGAATCTTCTAATTTATTAAGAATTGCCTGGCCGGTGTGGCTCTGTGGATGAGTGTTGACCCAGGAACCTGGACGTCAGGGTTCGATTCTGGGTCAGGGCACATGCCCCGGTTGCGGGCTTGATCCCCAGTAGGGGGCATGCAGGAGGCAGCCGATCAATGACTCTCACCATTGAGATTCTCTCCCTCCCTCTCCCTTCCTCTCTCTGAAATCAATAAAAACATTTTAAAAAAACGAAGAATATAGTCATGGCTCTATAATTGAAAACTATGAATACTTTAACAAAATAATCTTAAAAACATTTTACAGTGAACTGATACCATTAAATCAAACAAATATATTAAGTTGAAGGAAAAAGAATTATCCTAAAATGCTTTAGAAAAACACAGCTGTGTGCACGTGGAATCTTGGGAACAGAGTCACGCCTTAGAAGCCACTTGGATATTCACAATTGTTACACCACCCTCGTTGGTTCTACCTTCTAATGATAATCTACAAAGCAGGAGACAGAGGGGAAAATTATTCCAGCGGAGAACTTGAAGAACAGAAGCAACTAGGAGGAAACCTCTTGTTGGTAGTAAGTAGACCATTGAATCTTTGACCACTAAAAGAAATGCCATCTTTTGAAAAAAGAAATTGGTCATTTGGTATTTTAGTAAGGCGGAAATTTCTCCACTTACCTGTTGAAGGAGATGACAAAGAGCTGGCTTTGTTTTAGCAACCTGTATATTGCAATGCACATTCCTCTGAACCCAAGGCAAAGATTAGAAACCGGTCCCCACCCCTGGGCCAAGTCCATCCTGAAGTCTAAGTGTTTGGTTATGACCTCACCTACCCACACCTGGAGACCTGTCACAGCATGGACAAGTGCAAACAACACCCTGGTCCCCCACCCAGTGTTCTTCATAATTAATACTCAAATACAGCAAACAGAATAAATTTTTTAAATGGGGCACCTACTAAAGGCAACTACTTCCCATTTTTCTGGGCCCCTTTCTATAAAATGTCTCCTCTCTCCAATTTATTCTGAATTCTGCTTAAGGATTTCTCTTCCTAAAACACCTCTTGGATGTTTTCAGTGAGGTCACTGCACTGATAAATCTTTAGATCATTTTTCCTAATAAAATTCAAACCCCAACCCACGGTAAAGCGATCAAGAGTTCTTAGCATCACTGTCTTTTTTTCTACCATCCTACAATTGAGTGTCTGCTTGTTTTTTAATGTATTTTTTATTGATTTTCGAGAAAGAGGGGAAGGGAGAGGGAGACAGAGAAACATTGATGTGAGAGAAAAACATTGATCAGTTACCTTCTGTATGTGCCCCAACCTGGGACAGAACCTGAAACGCAGGTACGTGCCCCGACGGGGAGTCAAACCGGCAACCTCTCAGTGCACAGTATGACGCCGACCGAGCCACTCCTGCAGGGCAAGTGTCTGCTTGTTTCAATGACTCGTTTTCTTGCGCCATACATTTCAATGCTCATTGTCTATGGAAATCCTCCTACCTACCCTTTAAGGATTAGCTCAGAGGCTCTCTCTTTCCAGGAGTCTTCAAATACCCTCCAAATGAACTTAAGCCCGTGGCCCCATGAATTTGAAGCCAGTCCTCCCGAGGTGCTTCTCCCACCACCCCAAAACAGCCCATGTACCTTGCCCTCCTCACATGGCCACTCAGCGGATCTCATTAACGAAGAAGGAACATCCATCACTTTCTCCCACTGGTGGATAAGCTCCTTACAGCAAATTCTGATTGTCTTCTCTTAATGCCCCAAAGCGCATACAACTTAGCACCAGTTGCGTCCTCAATGCGCAGAATTGAATACATCGAGAATTAGGAGCCGCCCTGGCTGGTGTTGCTCAGTTGGTTGTCGTCCCATTTTCCAAACGGTCACCGTTTTGACTCCCAGCCAGGGCACATGCCTGGGTCGAGGGCTTGATCCCCAGTAGGGGACGCGCAGGAGGCAGCTGATCGATGTTTCCCTCTCTCCTTCTCCTTCCTCTCTCTCTAAAATCAATAAAATCATATTTTTTTAAAAAGGGGGCACTTAAACAACCACTTTTGTGATTTAGGGAACAGGCAAGTCTCTGGTTGGAGACTGGCCTCAGTAACCACTGCTTGAATGCTGACGAGTCCCTTTAACCTCTACGCCATTGAAGTTCTTATGTTATATACATAGTGTGGTGACATTACTTATCCGATAGAAATACGAAGATAATGAAAGAGATTACTTTTATTATATACTTCAGCTCAGAAAAAAAGCCAAAAGTACTTAACATTTTATTCCACTTCTAGCATGTTCTGTGAGGGCCTTGAAAATAAATTTCCCCTTTTCATATAGAATTTCCTTCCCTTTATTGTTTATAGAACAGTCTACTGGATGGCTCAAGTTCTCAAAATGAAAATCTAGAATGGTTATACTTTGCTCCCTCTGCTGGCCTAAGGACAGGATAATACCTGGTGGGGCAAAGTAGGTTTACAGTTGCGAGTTCCCGAGAGTTTACTCTCGTATTATTACTTACTGTATTATTTTCCACACAAACAACTGTAAATAGACTTTTGCCCCACCTTAAACTACCTGAGACTAATAGTTCAAAATCATCTAAATGATTATCTTCATGAACTTGACTATAAAAGACGTAACAGTTTCCACATCAAGATAGGTAAAAACCATAGTTTCAGGTCCTGGCCGGGTAACTCAACTGGTTACACCCAGGTTTGGGGTTCGATCCCCAGTCAGGGCACATATAAGAATCAATCAGTGGTTGCATAAATAACTGGAACAACAAATCAGTATTTCTCTCTAAAATCAATAAATAAAAAGAAACACACACTATAGTTTCAGTACTTTCATAGATTTGACAATGAAAAGCAATTTTTTTATGGCTACTTTCTATTTTAAACTATTATTCTAGAGTTCACCTCTAGAATTTTATTTTATTTTTTTTACAAAGGCTAGCTGCCCTCCATTCTTTTCCCCCGCAAAATGATTACTTTACTATTCTGCTGATTCTATATTTAAGGCTGAAAACACACAAATTTGCAATTTCTTGTATTTCCTTTGTTTTCCTGTTGTTTACATTTCCATTAATTTCTGCATAATTTACTTCCAAATTTACAGGGTTTTATATACCTATTTAACTGTGAATCACTTTTTTGTATTCAAAGCCTTAGGTTATGTATATGAAAACTAGTTTATTACGCCTTTGTACAGGATGAACATTACCTGTACAACAAGCTTAGATAGAGGAGGCAGTTACAAAAAAGTAAAAGTGTTATTAAAATTGACATACGTAAATCACTTACAAAAATACCCCAAATGGGGTAAAGATGCTCATCCCTGATTTTTCTCATTTGGTTGTCAAAGTTGAAATGTGATTTTAAAATGGTTAGAATTTTTCCTTTTAAAAAGTGATATATTAAACTTATATACAGGGTAATTAGCAAAATGTAGAAAGGGGAAACGATGTACAAAAGACAGATAAAAACCATCACTCTGGGAGGACACTCACAATCCAAAAATAGTATAAACTTTAACAAACTATCTCTAGACCAGCTCATACTTACGTTTCCCCCCAAGTTTTTAGCAGTGAGAATAAAATATAGTAAACCAGCGAGCCTGATCTTTCCATTCATTAAAACAGGCCTGACTTTGGGCCACAAACAAGCCTCGGGTGGATTTTTAAACAGGGAGGGACAAACAGGAAGACAGTTTTACCTGTCCACTTAGCACTAGTGGCCAGAACGCAAGGTACAGGCAACCAAACAGGTCTTGCCCCGGGTCAAGCGTTACTCGGAGGTCTTCTTGCTCTTCTGCTGGTTTCGGGGCGAGTTCTTTAACAAGCTTCTGATCCTGAGGTACATCCCCGTCGACTCTGCCATATTCTCAAATTCAAAGGGCGTTATTCCCGTCGCGAACTTGCTCATGTCAGGGATAGGGCTGTGGGTTTTGGCGGCTGCGGAGGGACTGGTGTCCGCGTGCAGGAGCCTCTGGCCGCCCCCATTCGCGATGTCGCAGTCCGGCGCGGCGCTGCCATTGCCGAGAGGAGCACCCACAGGGCTGCCCTGCGCCGCCTCCCCCCTGTCCTCGCGCAGCAGCGGTGCCTCGGAACCTGGGCTCGAGGAACGTCCGACTTCCGATTTCTCTGCGCAAGTGTCCGGCTCCTCGGGCTGCTCTGGCACCTGCTTTTCCGCCGGTCTCGCCTCTGGGGCAGGGAGGTCTGGCTCGTTGGGACAAGGCGAAGAGGCAACCGAGTTTCCGGTCAGAGGTGTGTCGACAGGGATGTCAGAATCGCTGTTGACGCTCTCGGCCTGCTCCAGGGCCGCCCAGATCCGCCTCTGCTGCTCTTCCAGCTCCTCCAGAGTCAGGGTGTCTTCGTCCACGGGCGCAGGTGCCATCCTGGTCTGCAGTGGGTCACCCGGGATCGGCGGCAGGGTGCCCTTGGGGAGCGGAGGCATGAAGGTGGGCGCAGTGTCCCGTGGCAGTGGGGCAGGCAGGCCAGGGGGCAAGGGTGGCTGAAACTGAGTGGCGTTCCTGCCGGGAGAAGCAGGCAGGGCCTCTGCATCTGAAATGAGAAAGTTAACAGGCTTCAGCTGTCACCATGCTTGCTTCACTAACACGTGTTACTTGAACTCGGAGGCTTTCAGAGCTTCAATGGCCAAGAATAACTGGCTTGAGGGGAAAACTCTGTGAATACTCACACCACGGCCATCGCCTCATCCTCAAGCCACCTGAAAAGAACACCTGCAGGGGGAGCTGTGGGACCTTCTGGTGCCCGGAACATTAACCAGCCCCACAGGGAAGTCTGTTTTCATGCTGTGAGCATCATTTTAGAGCCAGGCACTACGGACAATCGCATGGTGAAATGGAGAAATTTCTAGGGAGTCTGCTGTAACCGAGGGTGGGGTTCGTGGGAGAACATAGAATGCTTGATGGGAAATGCAGGCTGGCTGGACTGCTGAGTGTGTGGAAGGCTGAAGGAGACAAGGCCGAGCAGACAAGGCTTATCTCTAATCTGTCTCTAGCCTAGACTGTGCCCGAACTGCGGGTTCATGTAGCCAGATGTCCCAGACACAGCAGATCCAACCTGTGCAAAACAAAGGATCTTTTTCTAAAACCTGGATTCTTCTCGCTAATGGCAGCAGCCGCGATATCTGGTTAAGGACTCCAAAACTGAAAGCTGCTGGCCACCTGCGAGCCCACCGCACCCTCTGCCGCACCCAGGATCGGGGCTCTCTGGGGCCCGCCCTTCCTGGCACACTGTCAGAGTCACTACGTTACTTCAGGCCGCTCCTGTTGGTCACTTCAATAAACTCAATAAAAATGTAAAAAAGGGCAGAGCAGAAGACCCTCTCTCCAGCTGGGGCGCATAAGGGCTGCCCCTCCCTCAGGGCCGCGGGCGCACAGCCTGCGCGTCCCGCCCCAAGGGAACCGCAGCGCGCGCGGGGACCTACCCGAGGCTGGCTCCATGTGGGCGGGCGCCGCGCTGCCCTCCTTCTTCGCCTTCTTTGGACTCGTTGGGCTGGACCGAGACGAAGGCCTCTTGGAGGCAGACCTCACACTCGGCTAACGGAGAAGCCAAACCACAGTCAGGCAGGGTAGGCGGAGGAGGAAGCCACCCCTCGCTTAAATGTGACGCAGAAAACCAACCTGAGCCACGTGTAGGTGCCGGGTGAGCTCAGCACCCTTTCCTCTCACTCACCAGAAAACAGAGCTTGTACACAGGGCAAGGGAGGCAACAGGCCGCTAACGCGTGACGGAGTCCCACACCAGGGGCAACACACTTTCAGAGGGCACCCCGAAAGTCCCCTTACCGCTTGGAAGTTAGAAGTAAGGAAGCTGGCGAACACGTCCTTCTGCTGACAGGCCTGCATGGGTATGGATCCAAACACCCGCCACTCCTGGGGGGGGAGGCATGTGCTGGGAAAGCGGCGCGCTTCGAGGCTTTGCTCAAAGCACGTAAAGGGGAGGTCTCAGATTACATTTCTGCTTCACATGTGACTTTTCCTTTTTGGGGAATTAATGCAAATAATGGTGCACTGAAGGAAAAGTAAACCTCAACTCTGATGAATATAAGATTTCACTTAAGAGTCTAGCCAACATAGAGGAAATTAAAAAGTTAAACACGTAAGTAACACAGTTACTTCTTTATGTAACGGTGATTACTAAATAAGCTAACATTTTGAACAATCTATACATCTCAGAATAAAAAACAATATACTTACATCTGGAATTCCTCTGGGCGTAGATATATTAAAACCCGGATAGTTTACCAATTTCGAGAGATCGTAAGTGACATTTTGATTCTGTTGTATTTCTCCAGCTTCTGTTTCCCCATTGGCATCATCTATTACAGACCATCAAAAGGGTTAATATTGCTAGAAACCAACATCGGTCCCTCTCCAGACCAAAAGGAGACCTAGAAAGTGCTTTATGTGCAAGGCAAGAGCATTACTCTGTGAATGGCTTTAATTACAATGTCTGAACCATTAGATCAGACTGTTAAACAATGAGAACAGGTTACTTTGATAAAATATTTAAAACCTTGGAAAATCTGGTTCTTCCATGGGTTGCTTAAAGTCTGTTTTGTGCCTGGCCATAGTGACTCAGTTGGCTGAGTGTCATCCTGTGCACCATGAGGCTGCTGGTTCAATTCCCAGTGAGGGCACATGTGGAGGGCAAGGGATCGATGTTTCTCCCCCGCCAAGCATGTCCTCAGGTGAGAGTTTTTTTAAAGTCTATTTTGCAATGATCCTATGATCTGCCCAATGCTCTATCCCAATGCTTTTTTTAATAAGCTTTTATGTAATGCTTACTATGTACCAGATAGTATTTTCAGATAGTGTTTTAAATAGTTTACAAGTCGTATAATTCACTTAATCTTCTCAACAACGCTGAGAGGTGGATACTATGAAAACAGTTCACAGGTGAGAGTGGTCTCTGCTACCTGGGCACACTGAAGTTGCCTTATCTAATCTAGCATTACCTTTCCCATCATAGAGCGCAAGCCCCGAATTCTCCAGCTCGGCCTCTTTGAGCCATCCTGGGGGGTATCCTAGCTGGCGCATTCGATATATAAAAGGTGGAAGGCTCTTGTCCGTCACGCCCAGTGCATCCTGAAGTTCCTCACTAAGTAAAAAGAAAAGAGAAAGAAAAAAGACTGTGTTCTTTTTAGGATGAAAACACATACTACATCGCTGTTTTAAAACAATTCTTACATTACTCAGCATGTGACACAGTGCCTGTCAAATACATAGTTAAGATTTCAATGAACACTTTCAAATGAATTGATGTATATCATTGAGAGCCTTGCTAGAGAAAACTTATATACTGATAATTACTCTAAATACACACTGTCTCACAGAAATGACATTCTATGGTGAATGGACAGGAGTTACCTAATAACTCCTGGCTTGAATCTTCCAAATCTTTCTTCTACTTCGTCTGCATGGTACCGCTGCTGAAAATTCTGATTGTTTGTCTCCCCACAGGCATCCAAGTACTCTTTTCTCTTTTCACTTATTCGAGCAGCATTCCGAGGCTAAACAGTAATGCATTTGAAAAGAATGGTATCAAGCACTTTAGAAATATTTCAAAAATTAAATAAATATGAACACTTTGCTTAGGTCAAGCAAACAGACTGTTTTGGTTTTAATGTATAACAAACAAGTTTAAAAGAGGGTGGATATTTTAGAAAAATAAGCCAGAAAGAGAAGCAGTCACTTGAATTTCTTATTACTTTAGTATTCCTATAACCTAAAATCAAGTTTTTAGAATACGCTGTCTAAAAATTGACTCTCATAATGTTCCATTCATCTCAAATACAGAGGACTGTAATCAAGTTTTAAAACAATCTAATGCCTTCAAATTTAAGTACAAATTTGAAAAGATTTCAAACTCAAGCACCACAGGAAATTAACATAGAAAGTTTCTTTGTATCACACAATGTGATCAATATGTTGAAAACATTAGAAAGCTCTGGTTCAAAGATATTTTTTAGAGAAGAAAACTTTACCATTGAGCAATCTTTCATTTGATGGTCTTCAGAACCACAATTGAAACAGTGAGGCCTTGGCCTATTTGGTCAAAAAAACACAGATTTTCACAATGTAAGTGAAACTATAAAAGCAAATCAATAAAATCCTAGAGGACAGCAAAGTGTGTCAAAGAGAAGAAAGCGCATCGATCACAGATTACTGAGATCTGCAATGGGCACACTTTCAGCTCCTGTACTTAGTGATTTAAACAAACAGTACTTTTAACCAAGAACCCCAAGTTCCCGACTCATCTGTTACCTCTGAGCTGTCAGTGGTTAGTACCAGAAGCACTGAGGCAAACAGACCATTCTTCCTTTAGGCAACATGGAAAGGGGCAGATGGTTTCAAGACAGCAATCACAGTGACAGCAACAATTAAACCTTTCCACCCACCCAGACACACCAGGCATGAACCAATGAATTCCAATCAACAGAAGATCAATTTAAACGTTTAATACAGGTCTGTACATTAAAATTATAGCTTCATCTGTACTTTATTGACAGTAAGCCAGCAATAAAGAATATTAACTTTTCAAGCTAAAAGAGTTTATGATTTGGTTAAAAATAAATTTTAAAAAGCAGAAAACAAAACAAAAACAACTCCCCACACAAACCTTTTTGCCTTTACTTGTATTTCTTGCCCTTCTAGAGAAACAATGTGGCTGAAGACTTGATGGTACCTTTAGTGAATTTTATTAAGGAATAGTTATCATAGTCTGCAAAATTGGGTAAGGTTTTTTTAAAGATAAACTTAATGGCAAGGTGCATAAAAGATCTTCATTCACTATGTAGGATACTTGGGTATTTCCCATCCTTCGGTAAGCTGAGGGTTTTCATTTAGTAGCGGTTGCCCCAATTTATCAAGGCAAAAATTAGTAAAATACAGGACACTTCCTACAACCTGCAGAAAACAAGTCAAAAAATATTGCTATTGAAGCAGGAAAAAGAAGACAGTAGATAAGACTATGATTAATTGCTGTAACAATTATCTTGGATGAAATTATCAGAAATAACCAACTGCCTAGTTAAAGGAGCCAGATTTTGATGTGTAAGTAAAAGCTACATCTTTACATTTCCCTATGCCTCCACGATTACTGAGTTTTTCTTCTCTGGATCATTACTATCAGCTGCACCCTCTCTGGACTTAAAAAAAAAAAAATAGAAACTTGCCCACAGCTCTCACTTTCCCCTCCAGCTCCCCGTTTCTTTGCTTCCCCTGCAGCAAGACTCTCAGAAAAGTTGTCTATATTTATTGATTCCATTTCCTTTCCTCTGTCTTTTCCTTCCATTTTTGGGGAAAAATTTCAGACAGAAAAGTTGAAATGGTACAATGAACACCCACGTGCCCTCCAANGTCTTTTCCTTCCATTTTTGGGGAAAAATTCAGACAGAAAAGTTGAAATGGTACAATGAACACCCACGTGCCCTCCAACTAGACTGTACAATTGATAACTGACGTTTCTGTATGCACATCCCTCCTCTCTCCCTCTCTCTCTCTCACACACACACACACACACAATTTTTCTCACATTTACTTTTTACTGAGCCATTTAAACAAAGTAAGTCACCCCCACTATCACCTTACTCTAAACTGTCATTTTATCTCACCTTAGAGAGCACATTAACTTCCTAACTGGTTTCCAGCTTGTACATGCAACCAGCTACAGACTTTCCACAGAGCCAGCTCTTTTAAAAATTCAAGCTATATTATGTCACATGTCTACATAAAACAATCCAATGGCTTCTCATCTCATGCAGAGTAAAATCCCAAGTCCTCTCTATGGCCTGTAAGGCAACGTAAGTGGAGCCAGAGGCATGGATTCAAACCCTGGCTTCACCGCTTACTAGCTAAGGGACTGCTGGCAAGTCCCTTAGTCCCCATGTCTGTTTCCCCACCTGTAAAATGAGACAGATAACAGCATCCTCAGGAGTAATATCTGTCATGAGCTTAGAACAGTGCTGGCTATAGAGTGGACAAAGTATGCTTGCTTCTGCCTCAGGGCTTTCACTTCCTTTCCTACCATGCTCCTCTCTCAAATGCAGGAAGGCTCACTCCCTGCATCTCAGGTCTCGGTTCAGAGAGGCTGTCCGTCACCAAACCCTCAGCACACAAACCAAAATCCCCCTTACTCGCTCCTCAGCCTGTTTTAGTTTTCTCCCGGGCACTGCCTTCCCCACTAAAATGTAATTCAATGAGGGCAGAGACTCTGCCTTTTTTCTTTCTTTCACTACTATGTCTCTGGAACCTAGAACAGTCCATGGTACAAAGGAGCACTTAGCAAATATTTATCAGTGTTTATTAAAATTAACAAATGTGCAAAATTCCCAGTTTCCAGGCAGGTGCCACTAAACCCCCCAAACCTCAGTTTAGAAGGGAAAAGTGATATAGTTCAAATCCAGAAATCTTTCTTTCAAGTGCCTGATAGCATCTGTCTTTTGACTCCAGTAACATGGAATTCACTTTTTAAAAAAACGAGACAAACTACTTTGGTTTTCACATGCCTGAGAGAAATTCCTACCTACTAAATGGTGAGTTGAAATGTGCCTCTTTGTTCTCAATCCAATCACTGGGCCTAGTCCTGCCACTTGGCACTACACCGGGTGACCTGAAATGACACCTTTGCAAATAATAGTCTTTTTGCAGAGATGTGAAATCCTTTGTGCATCACTTCAAGGAGGGCTGTGGGCTCTTCATCATCCCAGCAACCCCACGTCTCTAAACTGGTTTCTCAATGGGGCACATGAAAACNTGGTTTCTCAATGGGGCATATGAAAACTAGACTTCCTTTAACAGCATCCGGGGTTCCATCATCATCTTCNGTTTCTCAATGGGGCACATGAAAACTAGACTTCCTTTAACAGCATCCGGGGTTCCATCATCATCTTCAAAAAATTTTAAGTTACAAAAGTCACACCACTGCATCGCATTGACACCGCTAAATTCTACACAGGTACTGAAAAGACCTACACACAGGTTCATCCCTGTCAAGCGTCTTCTATTATAAATCTGCCGTCTGCCAGGTTGGCTGTTTCTCCCTCTCAGCTTCAACCATTTACCAGTTCAGCAAGCATGCTTTCCATACCTTCCTCAAAGTTCTTGAAAATAAACACAGGTCAGGACAAAAATAAAGTCCTCCAGACAATGTCTGTTTTGCCCCCAGGTCACAAGAAAATAGTTATTAAAAAGCAAACCATAGTATTTAGAGGCTGAAGCCTACACTGTTGTCCGTAACAAATTTAATGAAAGAATGTGTGACCACCTGATGGCACAGGCCTCTGCCACATCATCGCTTCAACACTGCCCAGCTGACACCGGATAGGAAACACGTATCTGCAGAATTCTAAAGCTAAAATGCCCAAACTTACACTAAAAGCTTCCTTGTTGTTTTCAACAGCACAGGATTCTTCTACTTTGTGGTCCTCTTCTAGCATAACACTGGATGGCTAATACAAAGGAAAACACACTTTACAAAGGGTAACCAGTTTTCAACTTTACAATTTAAATATTAGCAATTTGAACACACTCACTTTATTTTCTAACACGTACCATTAAGTTATATAAAAATTTGAATTCATTAGTCATAACAAGGGTGAGTTAAAGAAATTTCACAAGTAGGAAATTTAAAAAGATATTAATATTAATTATGGAAATTTCAACACTGAAACTGGCAAGGCAGACTTTATCTTGAAATCAGGTAACCAGCAAGATTAATACATTAATGGTCAAAACTACTATAACCTTCACTGACCTCAAGCCACTAAAAAATTCTGAAGTGTACCTTAAATCAAAACGTTAACAATATTTAATATGATTTTTATTATTAAATGTATTTTCCAGTTCTTAAATCTTTAAAAATTGTATATAGGTGAAAACTAAAGGTGATTTAAAAATTTAATTAATCAGAATACTCTGTTCTCCAACCTCAGAGAATAAACAGCTAAAGATCCTTACTTGACTCTACTTACCTTAATTTCTTACTTTAAAAAAGCCCAGAAAACATAATTCTGATTTTTTTAAACATAAATTCATGCTCTAATATTCATATTAAAGTTTCTCAGATTTCTTTGGGCACGCTATTGATTTTTTTTTTAAACACTTAGAGGAGGAAAAAAAGGACAGTACATGAACTGTTGGTTTTAGAAAAAAAGGATCCATATTTTATAAACCCCAGAAATACAGATTTTGGGGGAGGGGGGTCTAAAATTAATTTTCTATACAAATCCCCGCGTTCAAGTTAGGGAATGAATAGAAAGCCCCCAACTCTGCGTGCAGCGAGGTCTGACTCTGACTCCCGTGGGAAAAGGAGCCACATCCAGAGCCCAGGGCTGCACCGGGCACTGCGGGGAAAGCAGCACTGCACGCTGCAGGCTGCAAGGCAGGAGGGGACAGGCGGCCTGAATCACGCAGGTTCTGACTCAAGGGGACCCTCGTGGCCTGGTAACCAGCAGTGAAGAGCACAGCCCCTAATCTGACAGTCCCTTCCGTTAGAAATACCTGGGGCACAAGGTTAAAGGGCGTCTTTTCCACGTCATTTTTCTGCTGCTCCTCAAATCTTTTTACTAAGTTTGACACAAATTCCTCTATTTCTTGATGATATTGCCTGCGTAAGAGCACAAAACGGTCAGAACTCAGACAGAGGAAAACATGGTACAGACTGAAGTCACGATTGTGTCACGTGTCACTTCTGTGACTTGGTGTTTCAGGTTCATCAAATCATGGTCTCGCCGTAACACTCAGGATCTATTCCTGAGGAAACCACACGTCAGTGCCAAGTTAAAAAACGATGGTGCTAACCTAACGGTGCTTGGCATGACAAGTATTTGTGCTAAGAATAAGTGGATTTTTAAATAGACTTTATGTATTTAACTTCTAAATACATAATACATGCAAGTGGTTCGATAGCTGAAAGAAGTCAGAGGGTTACCTAACGAAAGGCCCCCTTCCCACCCTGTCTGCACGCTGCCTATTTCTGCCACCCAAAGGCAACCAATGCATTGGTTCTTCCACCTCTTCCCAGAGATTCTCTATGCACATATGAGGAAATACTATATATAAATATTAAATTTGAAAAAGTAAAACCAAAATACAATGCAAGAAGAACTACTGAGGTCTACTTTCTCCAGCTTTCCCGGTCAAGAACCGCGTTCATTGAATATTCTTCAGCCTCAGTCCGGGAGGTGCCCAAGGAGCCCAGCTTAGGCCCCAGCTGGGCAGCCAGCTTCCTCTTCACAGACCTGAGGATCTGTCAAGTCCCTTTAGCTCTGACATTCTAAGATTTCTGCAGGTGAAACACCAGGTGAGTGGTGCAGAAGTCTGACTGCTGGGAGCTAGAGTAGATCCTGATTCTAATCTGAAGGTGACAGCGGTGCCACAGCCCAGCTGCGCCCGGCACCTTGCTGCTGCTCCCGGCACCTTGCTGCTGCTCCACTCACCACTAGCTTCCCCACCCCTCAGACCCTCAGGCTCCTCTTCTGCTAAGACAAAGAAGGTAATGGGCCTGCCACACTGGTAACACGCTGTATATGGTTCCCTTTACCATCTTCACTTTGCCCAGCACATGAGAGAATGTGATTAAGTGACATGGGATGGGGCAAACAACTGTCTGAACCAATCTTCGAGGAAGGGACAGGGCACAGCCTCAAACCATTGCAGAACTCCAGCAAGCACTGCGGGAATGCAGTCACTCTACACCCGAGTACTCTGGAAGGCTTTCTGCAAGGGTCTAGATTTGATATTAAAGTATATCGTGTGGGGAAGCTTTCAAGATAGTCAACAGGGAAAACTGTTACCTGACGTGGGCAGAGAAATGGCTAACACCATTGTTGCAGTGCTAGTGTTCTTATTTTTATTATTTATTAGAAGCTATTTATTGGGTTCTTACAGGTGCTTGTTTGGCTACCTAGGTGGTGGTTACTATTAGCACCGTTTCCCAGTGAGGAAAGGGGACTGCAGAGGGGGTCAGCGGCCTGCCCGGGTACACAGGCGTAGAAAGTCAGAGACCAGATTCCAATTCAAGTTTACAGGACTCACGTCCTTGCTCTTCACCAGGACTCCGTCCACTGTAAGTGCGAGAGTAAGGACGGTGCGGGCGCAAACGAGCACCGCTTCCTACAGGACACACTGCTGCACAAACACCAATTCCTCCCATTTAGAAAAGGGAAAGCCACTTACTTGGAAATAACATTGTTCATAAACAGAATCTGTAGTAAAGGTCCATCTAACTTAGTGTTGTTCACCAGTATTCCACTGAAACAGACGTTAAAACATATTCTTAGAGGAGTTAAAGTAAAACTTGCATATGTACATATGAACACACGACCTATATAATTCTTAAGTACCACGGATCATACAGCATTTTACATATATGATCAGGAACCACCAAAAACTCCCATTTTCTCAAGAAAAATCTGTTTCACCACTTTCCCTGCTTAATGGTTTTACACATATTTATATACATAAAAATATAACATTTTAAAAATATATCACACAAGAAATAAAAACTGCGGTTAATCTTTCAGTTTCCAACCAAAACGTCTCTTTTCCTAATGGTTGTTTCTTTACAAATTGGGGAGGGGAGGGAAGGACTGGGCAAACCAACCAGCAGGTTATAAGAATACATTTCTGAAAGAATCAGAGTGAATTTGGCTTAGAACTCTATGGGGAAACAACACTATAGATAAACGAATAGGTTCTTTTCGGAGGGCAAAGCACACTGCACTAAATATCTCAGACCCAAGACTCTAGGGTGGAGATGTTAAGAGCACACTGCTCTGGATCTCCCTTTCAAATACTGCAAGGCGACTGCGGCGGGGGGGGGCAGGCCGCCGGGAAGCCTGCACTACGCCCCTGCGGGAACCTGGGACCAGCTGAACCCCGGCTCCCCCTCACCTGCCTCGCATTCCCCTTCCTGGAGGGCATGTGAAATACATCACTCTGCACTTGGAATGGTTCTCGTCAAACAGAGAAACGAAATTAAAATATGGGAAAGTTCAGAGGCTTGTTTCAATTTAAGCAAACTTCAGTTTTTGAAAAATATATCCTGCTTTTAAAATCCCATGTAATTGCACGGTCTCGGGTTGGAGTCCAGTCTGAACCATCAGTTACAGGCACCTGGCTGGGGAAATTCGAACAGGTACTGGGCTGGGAATGTTACCAAGGAAATCATGACGATTATCAGGTGTGATAACAGTTGTTGTGGTTATGCACAAAAAAGTACTTTTAAAAATAGTATGCATGCTAAAATATTTGGGGCGCAATGTGCGTATGGGATTAGAAAAAAATATGGCAAAATGGTCACTGTGAATGCAAGGGATGAAAAGCGGGTATTAATTGTACTGTCCTTTCCATGGTCTTCATTTGGAAATTTTCATAACACGAAGGAAAAAAACAAACAAGTAAACATAATGTTTACTGGATAAAAAGGGAAACCTCGGATCATGATGGTTCCAAAGTAAGGATTAAACCAAGACGCTTGGGGTACAAGTTTTAGGGAAATAATTTTATTTCTTTTTCTTGGTTTTCTGTAGAATGCTCTATCAGTTTGACAATGTGGAGGGCACTGATTCTAAAAAGAAAATACTATTTCTTTTTCATGACACTAATGCCTACTTGTTATAAGTTGGCAGAGCCTATGATGCCATAGTCATTCGAACTTGGGTGTTTATAACCTACTTTTAAATAAATACTTGATGTTTAAGTAATCAACCCTATTGGAAAACATGCTTATCTAAATAAAATATATGTAAGATGATGATTTCTGAGGAATCGTAGTTACAGTCAATAGTTAATCACTAACCAAAAGCGAGTTTAGAGTGCGTCTACATTCTCAAACCACCCTTTCAGTCACCAGCGCAGTCAGTTTGGTCCAGCAGGTGCCAGGGGCAAAAAGGCCCGTGTGACGACCGCACCGGCGGCCCCCGATTCTGACAGCTTGAAGGAATATAACCTTCCATACAGGACGCTGGTCCTTGCACAGGTATTTCAGATTAATTCTGCAATCCTCGGTCTAACTACCCGGAAAGGTCCGCCGGGCTGCCCGACTCGCCTGTTCTGAACATCAAGTCAACACCTTCTGGACTGTTTCACAAACACTTTTTCACCCAGTAGGTCGGTTTCATGCAGTTATGAGAAGTCAAACTTTTACCTCCAACAAGTTAACCCTAAAGGATCATGAGGAGGCTCAACAACAACAACAACAAACAACACCACAAAACAAAAATGGTACAAAGATCCTCAGCGGCCCTTTTTATCAAAAACCTGCGGTTATGACTATCAGGATTAAAAAAATAAATAAAAATAAAGGCCCCCGCTAGCGCACGGCACGGTTCCCAGGTCGCCTACCTCGGCCGAGTCAGGATGTTCAGCTTCCGTCGGAGTTCCCGATGTGACCACGCGTTAAGGAGTCCTCGGGCCCCGTTCAAACACCCCGGGAGGTCGTAAAGAACAGGCACCTAACTGTGGCCGGCGGCGTCGGGAGGTCACCCGCGTTCCGGGGACTCCGGGCGCCTGGGAGGCGACGCGCGCTGCGCCTCCGTCCCGCCGGCGCCGGGAAGCGGGGTCCCCG